GTTGCAGCTTTGTCTTTCAGTGTCTCAAGACTGATTTGCTGTTTTACTTAACTGAGCAGACATTAATTTTCTTTTACAGCTTTTGTTTCTTTGGATTTTTAAGAACCACTGGGGAGAACAACTGATACTCTACAGCAGCTCCTCTTAACGAGGCTATGCAAATATTGCCATCAATAATCCAGGGCTCAGTAGTTCAAAATAATGACAAACCAAGGTGGTCACAAATCACAATTTAATTTGCCCTCTCATTGCTTCCTGACACTTTTTAAAGATCTATAGTCCTGCTGATTGCAAACGAGGGGCAGATGAATCTCCCAGTACAAAGTGACTCTCCCAGGCAGATTAAAGATTCTTCCACATGATTCCACCTTAATTAAAATATATTGCCCCCTGAAGAAGTTACCCAAATTACAAGCTAAACTCAGCACTTTACTTCCCAATGAAAATTTTACATCGCCTTAGAAAGCAAAATATCACCTGTTGTTACTGGAATAAATTCAATCCCCAGCAAGAAAACAATGAAAATAAATGAGCCTATTACTCCTACATCATAAGAGCGACTCTGGCACCATGAGAAAAATAATTTATAAAAAGTAACTGTGGCAACAGTAATAAGTATCTTACTAGTCCAGAACCTGAATGCTTCTGTTACCCAAGAATACAAGTCTTCCCACTCTGCCATGGCAACGAGGATCAGCCTGGAGGAATCACACACAGCCAAGTGATGGCTGGAGTGCTGCTACAACAGTATGACAGAAGGCAGAAATTAAGATTAGATCCAAATTTTGAGTCACATCCCTTCCATACCCATAGGAATAATAACAATTACATTAAAAAAAAAAAAAGAGATGAAACAGAAAAAGAAGCCAACATATATGGATTATTGTGAATTAAAAAAAAAAAAAATCTGAAGGGAGTTAAAAACATCAGAGGAAAATCCATGGTTAAAACAGCTAAGAAAAATAGTTATGCAAGGGCAAAGACCCTTTAAGAAACACCAGCTCCAAGATGAATTATAGTTTGGAAAATATGAAGACAGTAAAATTGCTACAGGGAGACAAAAAGCTGCAAGTGATCAATAAACATTGCCTACCTGCATTTAATAATGTGGATAACTTTGTACTGCATGAGGACAAGGAAATAATTCCAATATACTTATGTTAGACCAGATAACATCACAAGAGTCATTTTTAGGTTTTCATAAGGAAAAACATAACCACAGGGTCTAGAAAAGTGCCTTAGGATATCATTAGGATGCCTTAGGATGTCATTTCCAATGCATGTGGAACAACTTGAAAATTTCTCCAGAGTAGGTGTCCCAATATAAAATAGTGACAACTAATAATTGAGAGTTACAACGCTTTTAATAATGGATAAAATGTAAAAAGGAGGCTAATTAATAAAGTAATAATTCACTTCATGATAAGAAGTATGACTAAAAGGAGAACCATATAATTAATGCCAATCAATAGTTTTATAGGAAGCTATTAAACAACCCCGGGGTTTGTCCTTCGTGTGTGCAATCACAAGCACGTTAATTATTTAGGTTTTTACAAGGCAATTCACCTAAAACATGTGGCATTTAGACCAAATTTTACATTGTTGTCAGTGAAGGGAGGATCACAGCACTGTCAGTGCTGGTGGAACAGCAAATTGTGGTGGGAATGGAGAGATCCAGATCAGTTGGTTCACTGCACTCATTTCTTGGGAACACATTCTCATGCACATATTAAAAATGGAACAAGTGTTGGCAGAAAGCATGTATGTAAATCCCAGTTAAAAGAAAATTATTTATGCTCAAACTTGAAAGGCTTAATCTTTCTAATCCTTTAAATAAGAAAAACGGACTTAATTTGATTGCAGTATAAAGTGCTACAAGAGGCCTTTCATCTTGAGGATAATGAAATAAGGCCACTAAACTTAAACATACCAAATTTCATATTTGAATTTACCTGACTCTACAGGTAATAGAATCTGAAACAAATACAGACAATGCCCTTATCTCTTAAAACTTTCAGATCAAAACTATAGATCTCTTTATTCTTAGGTGCAAATAATGAGTCATGGGGGTCACATGCAATAATTGCAGTACAGAAGTGCTCAGGCTGTATAAACTAACAGGACCTTATGTCTCAGCTGGACTTTATAACTCAGACAAATGTTACGTAATTAACTTGGCAGCAAGGCAATGTTTTGGAGAAATAGACAATATATGGGGTTTTTTTTCCTCTACAAGTGTTTCTTTCTTCACCTTTACTTATTCAACAGTTGACCCATCCTCATACAAACAAGCATATACTGGTTTTTCTCCATATATTTTCACTGCTTCAAGATGGCCAGCGGGCAATAATCCTTCCTATAGAACCCAAACCATTCTGTTCACACCATGACTGATTGGATGTGGTCAGATCCATGTGACAAGTACACAATTTTAAAGATGTTGGGGTTTGGGCTTGCTTCTTGCAACAGCAGAACACAAAACCTACCGCCTTTTAGGGAAAACACAAGGTTAATTTTTATTCACCTCCTCCAAATAGCTGCCTCCCTGGCTTGCTACCAAGTGCCCTGTTCCCTCAGAACAGCCTTTGTGCTGTGAGTATGCCTTTGACATTTTTTAAAGCGATGGAATGCAGTTCTAGATGTCACAGATATCACGGTGTATTTACTTGCAGCTCAAGTATTTTATTTGCTTTAGTGGGTTTTCTTCAAATCCCCAGTGCCCCCCACCTGCTTGTCTGCAGAGGGACTTCAACTCTATGCCAGCAGCTCAAATATATGAAATTAAACTCTCCTCACACCAACAAAGTGTCCCTTCAATGATAAACATCAAACTTGCAGAGAGTGTAGGATACTTAAGAAGTGATATTGTATAACATGAAACATCCCATTGCTTAGGGTAGGATTAATAAAAGCACCAGAATTCTTCATGGCTGGATTAATCCAGGCTCTTACACAGACAGACAACAGGCAAGAAAAGAGCACCTGAACAACCTGCTGTACCTACTTCACCTCAACCCACTGCTAAAAGCAGCAACCAAATGTGAACAAAACAAAAAGATGTTATTCTAAATGAAAAATTACATGTAATAATTTTCCACCACAAGGAGCTTCCCTTGTGTTGAGATGAAAAAACACTTCAAATTAGAGTAACAGTGGCTGGATTGGTTCAACACCTCTGAGCATTAATCACCCAAGAGCAGGTGAAATCAAGACTAAGGTGTTCCAGCAGGAGGATGCCCGCATTTTACAGACTTCTGCAAGAGCCAAGTCCACGCTGGGGTCTTTACTTAGGGATAGAATGTGCCACCAAACGCTAATACAGAGCGCTTCAAAACGTTCTCCTAGTCTTTATGGAGGCAAAAAAATCCAGTGGGAGCTGAAGATATCTATGATCCCTGCATAGAATGCAAGTAAATTTATTGACCCCATAGAGTAAAATGTTCAGGACTGGATTGTCATAACGCCTTCAGGACATGCCAACCAAACCAACCAAATCCTCACTTTTTACCTGTCAACATAAACTGCAAGATCTCTCTGTTCTCTGAATTCTGTGTTTCAGACTAAATAATGCAATGGCCACTGGTTCAGGGTAAACTCCCCACACTCAGAGGCCAAGCATGGGCAGGGGATACTCATGAGGCTTCAAGTTACAAAATACATGTTTGAATGGGCTGTCTGTACTTCTGCCACATTTCACCACGGTTCAAATCTTATTAATGTAAATATCAAAATAAATAAAAATGATCTATTTTTCCTACGTTGTACTGAATTATCAGAAAAACAAAGTGTTCCTGCCTCACTCAAACGATTTTACTTATTTTTTCTCACACTGATATTTTTATTACACTGATCCCCGGGGGACACCACTAGTGACCAGCTGCCAACTGAGTGCACCTGTCCAAGCCGTGGGCTGCCAGCTTTTCCAGGAGTGTGCTCATGGAGAGCATTGCAGTGGCTGGAGAGCGGCCAGGCAGAGAGGGACCTGGGGGTTCTGACAGACAAGAAGCTGAACATGAGCCAGCAGTGTGCCCGGGTGGCCAAGAAGACCAATGGCATCCTGGCCTGGATCAGGAACAGTGTGGCAGCAGGAGCAGGGAAGTGATTGTTGGCCTGTACTCAGCACTGGTGAGGCCACCCCTGGAGTGCTGTGTCCAGTTCTGGGCCCCTCAGTTCAGGAAGGACATGGAGGGGCTGGAGCGGGTCCAGAGAAGACCAATGAGGCTGGGGAAGGGACTGGAGCACAAGTCCTGTGAAAAGCAGCTGAGGTTATTTAGCCTGGAGAAGAGGAGGCTCAGGGGAGACCTCATCACTCTCTACAACTCCCTGACAGGAGGTTGTAGCCAGGTGGGGGTTGCTCTCTTCTTCCAGGCAACCAGCAGTAGGACAAGCGGGCTCGGTCTTAACCTGCACCAGGGGAAGTTTAGGTTGGACATCAGGAAGAAGTTCTACAGAGAGAGTGATCAGCCATTGGAATGGGCTGCCCAGGGAGGTGGTGGAGGCACCGTCCCTGGAGGTGTTTAAGAAGAGATTGGATGTGGCATCAGTGCCATGGGCTGGGTGACAAGGTGGGGTTGGCTCAGAGGTTTGACTCGATGATCTTAGAGGTCTTTTCCAGCCCAGTTGATTCTGTGAGTGATCAGTCAAACTTTCACTCAAGCTTCCTACACAGCGTCAAGTTGCAGTTTTAAACACAAACTCCATTTCCCAATAAACTCAAGCATCTTTTGCTGTAGATCAAATATCAGAAGAGTACTTTTGCTTCCATTCAGTTCGATACAGTATCAAAACACCCACCCATCTCTACAGAGATTCTTCAGCTCCAGACACGCAGCCAGCAAGCTTTACCAAAACTGTTTTGTTGTGATCTGAGATAAAGATGAATGTTCAGAGCTACACCCTTCTACCTACAAAGCTTTCTGCAATGATTAAAAATGGCTAGAATGAGCTTGAGAGCAACGCTAAAAGCCTGAGGGGGGGGTGAAAAACCAAAACCAAAACAAGCAGTTTGAGCAAGTCTTTATTCTTCTACTGAAATAACTACAAATAACAAGACAGACTAATTCCCCAATTCTTTTTGCTAAACGTCGGAGTACGATGGAATCCATCCCTCAAATAAATGCATGCTTTGAAAAAGGAAAAATAAGAGTTACTTTTGTGATTTGTGCCTCGCAGCCAAACTTGAATGACCCTGAGAGAAGCCTGTGCAGACAAATCACAAGATTTATGTGCAGCTTGTTAGATCTGTTTCCCACCTCCCTTCATGTTATTGCTCTGCAAATTGCAGAATGTGGGGGTTTTTTTTAGTAAGTGCTAATCTTGACTAAAATCCATCATAAAGAGTGCTACAATATTGCTTTTTATTACAAATAGCCAGAACTTCTTTGAAAATATAAATGTGTAAAACAATCCACCGACTGTACAGTGCATTTACAGGACACAATCCAGAAAGTAACATGCAGTGTAAAAACTGCTGTATACATTAGCCCTTGCCCACAAAGAACTTGGCAGTACTACCACGACTTATTAATGACTATAGGGTGAAAAAAAAAAAAAATAAAAAAACCAAAAAGCTCAGTTACATCTAACTTTACCATGAGACTGGGATACATACATCATTGTACAAGGAAGAGTTGCTTTTAACTAGAAACCGTCATCATGTTGTAACTCTTGGAAGGGCTGGATCTGCCAGTTCTCCACTCCTCCTTGCAACTGGTCCTGCTCTCCAGCTGTTTGGCCGCCTTCCCCCCAGGCTGAGGGCTCTCGTACAGCACACAGATAGACCCATCCTCACCGATGCGGTAGGACACTTCGAAGGGGTCGACCCACAGAGTTAATTCGCTGGGTAAGAGCTGGAAGAGCCTCTCGTGGCTCAGTCCGATCATCCCCGCCGCTTTTCCTATCAAGGGGTCCATCTTATGGTTGATCCTGATGCAGCGGTACCCGGAGCCCTTGGAAGGCATCAGGGGGAACCAGTGGTGTTTGTAGTGCTCTGCGAGAGGGAACAAAGAGGAGCGTTACCGCGGTGCGCTCCGCCGGACCCCCGAGCCAAGAGGGGCAGGAGTGGATAGAGGGGATGGGGGTGGAATGGAGGGGATATGGAGGGGATATGGAGGGGATATGGAGGGGATATGGAGGGGATATGGAGGGGATATGGAGGGGGTGTCCCCCCGCCGCTCACCGCGCATCGCCTCCTGCAGCCGCTCGCGGAAGCACCGCAGCTGCTCCTCGCCGACCCCGCCGCCGGCCCGCAGGAGGCGGGTCACGAACGCGGCCGCCGTGGAGATCTCGGTCCTCATGGCCGCCCCGGCCCCGCTGCCAGCGCCGCCCGCCCCGGCCCGGCCCGGCCCCCGCGGCCGCGGCGGCTCCGCGCAACAGCCGCACCGCGCGGGCGGGACGGGGCGGGTTTGTTTTGCTGGCGGAGGAGGCGGGACCAGCGCGGACACCTCGACCGACAACCCCGAACGACAGCCGGACGCCCCCGCGCCGCGCCGGGGCAGCGCTCGGTGGCAGCGGGCTCGGACACCCCGCGCCCCGCGCCCCCCGCGCCCGCCGAGCGCGGACACCCCGCGCCCCCCGCGCCCCTGCCCGAGCCCCCCCGTCCGGCCGCTCCCGCCCCCGCTCCCGCCGCGGGTCCCATTCCCCACCCAACGGCAGTAACGGGCCGGGCGCGCGGCCGCGCTCGGCGATCACGGCGGGCACCGCGGCTGCCCCTTCGCCTGCGTGCGCCACGTTCCTTGGAGCGCCACACTCCCACCCCGGGGCATCGCCGGCCCCTCGCAGTCCATCACCCGCTCCGTCGCCTGCGATGTTCCAGGCGCACGTCGCCCGTTATCCCGCCTCGTGCCCTTCTCCCTCTCATTTCTCAAGACCCTATCCACTGGGCAGATTATGTGACCAATACATCTGTTCTAGAACAAGCAGCTGTCACAAGTATCGAGGCCATGTTGCTGAGAACACAGCTGCGATGGGCAGGGCACGTCTCCAGGATGAAGGACCAACACCTCCCTAAGATCTTGCTCTATGGTGAACTTGCCACCGGCTGCCACAAGAGAGGAGCCCCAAAGAGAAGATACAAGGACTCCCTGAAACATCTCAGCCTTGCCCATATTGATCATCATAACTGGTCTACTCTGGCCTCCAATCGGGAGGTCTGGAGACACACCATCTATAACGCTGCTGATGCCTTTGAGAACGCAGCAGGATCACTCTCGAGGAGAAAAGACAATGCAGAAAGAACCTTGTCTTGCAGAATTTACCACCTCAGGAGTCTTTCTGCTGTGCCTTTTGCAATCAGACATGTCTATCTTGTATTGGCCTCGTAAGCCACCAGCGTGCCTGTAACAAACGTGGATAGAGCCTTCCCAAATCTTCGTTCGCGAAGCCCGGCCATGAATGAATATGAGAACTATCTAAAAACCTCTCGCCAGCTCTTCCAGGCAATCCCTCAAGTGTGGGATTTTCTGCCCTACGGGACCAAGACCCTCAAATGACAAAAAACTCTTGACATTTGCCCCAACATGCAGACGCCACCACCTGCTTCGACAGTCCCACACAGCTAGAGTATAATTCTGAGTGCCATTCTGTAGCCTAAGCAAAGAGATTTGTCATCGAGGGAAAAAAATAATCTTATTTCACCCCTTGAAGAAAAGACAGAAGGTTTCTGTGGTTCCTTTTTCCTCTCACTCACAGCTCTTAGCACTAGACTAACCCTCTCCTATCCAGCTCTCAGGCCTGAATCAAGATGCTATTTTATTAGAGCAACTTTTCACTGAAGCCCAGTTCACATTTTAGTACCTCAAACTTTAGAAATTAAGCTAAAAAATGAATTTCTGCTGGTATCTGGACACATCAGTCATCCACTTACTTCAGTCTTGTTTTATTCAGTGTTTTGAGAAACATGTAAGGCTCATGGTGAGCAAGACACAGAAAGACAAGAAGAAACCAACAGATATGTAACTGTTTGACTTTCATCTCCCTGCTAGAAAATTATTCCACAGGCAGCAGTATTTAAAGCAAACTCTGGAAGGGTTCATCAAGAACCTAATTATTTGCCTTTTATTATGCTAATATTTTATATAAACAGGATGGTTTAGAGAGTACTGGAGGTCCCAATAACACAGCACTGGAGATGGCAATTAATTTGTAAACACTACACCTGTACAATTTACTGATAACCATTGAAATATGTCATTTTTCATTAGAAACAAATTTTAAGTATTCATACACAGTGAAAAAAAAACAAACACACAAGCATCTAGGTTTTGGTTTGGGTTTTTTTTCCCCCATCTGCTGGAAGATTTCTCTGGCTTTAAGAAAAGCAGGTAAATTACCTCCTGTTGAGCATTGTTGGGATTAAAAGCCTTGCTTAGCACTAGAAATGAAAGCAGTCGAAGCCTCGGGCTGCAAGAGTTGACCAAGAGTAAGAGATAAAATTAATATTACAAATGCAAAGCTAGCTGAAAGTGGAAGATACAAGCAGAATGAAGAAAGGGAAACAATTCCAAGGGAATGAGAGGAAAGCCAGCCCAATGACTAAGACCAGCAAGTCAGCAACAGTCAGATGACAACTCATCTTCGAGCAGGAACCCGGGGCTGAGCCCTGCTGAGGTGGCATCCACATGCAGCTACATCATTCCTGACACAGCTACCAGACATACAACCTTATTTCACTAAGATTTTTTTAGCTCATCAACTCAGACTTACTTTGTTGTTACTCTGCTCACCTGCAAGTCATTTTCTCTTCAGCAGGAACACCTGGAGCAAAGGAAAACAGAGTCAGTGTCTCGAATACTTTAAAAAAGCATAAAATATGTCATAGAAGTTCCTGCCTGGTTTCTCTCCAAGACTTACAGCCTTGGTTTATCCTGTTAAAAATAAAGTTTTGCAAGTGTTTTGTCATTCTGTTTTTCCTCAACTCCAGCTGGAGGACGAGGAGAACGTACAACTGAAGCTGTAGCACTCGTGCAATATATTGTTATTTAAAAATAACAGTCATAGTACAATCCTATTTATTTATAAAAAAAAACAAACCCCAAACTAAAAATTCCAAATAAACAAACAAAAAACTAAACCAAAACCAAACCAACCCAGAATTTAGTGCAAATAATGTCTAAATCAAGTTCCTTTTAGATTACTTAATTTACTTCTCAATCCACATTCTACAAATATGGATGAAACAGAGCACTAGAACCTGCAAGAGGAGGTTTTAAACAAAACAAGCAATTTTGGTTTTACTCCATCTCATAGAAGCATCTCTCTCTAAACATAGATAAATAAAACCATTCTTAAAAGCAATAATTATCTTTTCCTTCTTGCTAGACTACAAAGAGAAACATTGTGTTGCCATTCTCACTACAGGGAGAAAAAGAATTCCAAAGACAAATAGTGGTACCTTAAGTGATTTAAGCATCAGATCCATCCATAATTTCTCCAGTTTGGTACATAATTTGGGCCTGGCTGGCTGATCACAGGCACTGCTTCTTTTGCAGTGCATGGATAAAGCAAATTACACTCTAGTGATCGTTTAAGTTTGCTGTGCATAATGGGAATAGAGAAATGAGCAAGAGAAATCGGAGTTCTCTGACAGAACTGGAAATGTGTCATCCTAACATAGTGTTTTTCACTTAAAAGCACTGAGCGTCCCTGAGCCCTGGGTGTTTCCAGCCCCCTCTCCGTGAGTCCCCAAACACTGTCTACGAGCCCTCAAGCTCTGTTTGTGAGTCCCCAGCCCTGTCCTTGTGTCCCTGAGCCCCATCTGTGTTCCCAGCCCTGTCCTTGTGTCCCTGAGCCCCATCTGTGTTCCCAGTCCTGTCCGTGTGTCCCTGAGCCCCATCTGTGTTCCCAGCCCTGTCCGTGTGTCCCTGAGCCCCGTCTGTGTTCCCAGTCCTGTCCGTGTGTCCCTGAGCCCCGTCTGTGTTCCCAGTCCTGTCCTTGTGTCCCTGAGCCCCATCTGTGTTCCCAGTCCTGTCCGTGTGTCCCTGAGCCTCGTCTGTGAGTCCCCAAACACCGTTTGTGTGTCCTCAAGGACTGTTTGTCAGTCCCTGAGGAGGCAAAGGCGGCAGAGGTGTCAGCCCCACAGCCACACAGGATGGGTCCCCACCGCCCTCGTAGCCACGGTCTGACGTCATCTTGCCGGGGACAAACACGGTATGACGTAATCAGCAGCCCCACACTCACCGTGACGTAACCGCCTGCAGCATGGCGTCACCATCAGCAGCATGACGTCACCTCTTCCCCTCACACGGCGGACGCACCTTCCCGCCACCCTTCCGGCCAATCCACGAGGCGCTTGCACCGCAGCCTCTGGCGGCCAATCGCGGGGGCGCTTACAGCCGGGGCCGGGGCCGCCGCCGCCCCATTGGCCGCGCGGGGAGTGCCGCCCGGCGGTGATTGGCGGGGGGGCGTGTCCCGGGCGGCCTCGCGCCGTGAGGGCCCCGCGGGCCCGGTCCCGCCATGGCGGCGCCGCCCCGGCCGCGCAAGCGGAGCGGCCCCGCGCTGAGCGGGGGCAGCGGCGCCGGGGCCGCCCCGCCGGGACTCCGCAATGGGCTCCCCCCACACAAGCGCCCCAAGAGTGCCGCGGCCGGGCCTGCCGGGCCCGCCGACCCCTTCGGTGACAGCGACGACTTCACGGCGGACGACCTGGAGCAGATCGACATCCTGGCCTCGCAGGCGCTGTCGCAGGATCCGCCCGCGGGACTCGCGTGGGGACCCCCGGGACTGCCCCGGGGCGGGCGGGAAGGTCGGTGTGTCCCGGCACTGCCCCGCTGCTGAGGAAGGGGTTGTTGTCCCTTTAGGAGTCATGGAATGGTTCGGGTTGTAAGGACTTGAAAGATCATCCAATTCCCACCTCCTGCCTTGGCCAGGGACACCTCCCGCTATCGCAGGGTGCTCCAAGCCCCGTCCAACCTGGAATTGGACACTTCCAGGGTTGGGGCAGCCACAGCTTCTCTGGGCAACCTGTGCCAGGGCCTCCCCACCCTCACAGGGAACAATATTTTACCAGTATATCATCTAAACCTGCTCTTTTTCAGTTTGAACCCATCCCCCCGTGTCCTGTCACTACATGCCCTTGTAAATACTCTTGCTCCGTCTTTCCTGTAAGTTCCCTTCAGGGAACTGTTTTTGCTTTGGCCACCAGCACCCCCCCCAGTGTCAGAGGGATGGCTGGGATTCAAAGGAATAACAGAAATAACAAAGGAATAGTAACCCCAGCAGGCACATTGCACTGAGCTGTGCCCTGGGGTGTGTGTGGTGACCCTGGCCTGGGACGTGGGTGCTGCACGTTAAACCTGCCAAATAAACGAGTTTCATAAACTTTTAACTTGCTGTAGTTATCATTCACAGTATCATCATTCACTTTTGTATCCTGGTTGGATGTTGGCCACCAGATTATTTTTTCCCTGTTAGTTTTCACTGGTAAATGCATAATGTGTCATATTAAAGCAGCTGATTTTCAGGTTTACTTTGAAAAAAGCAAAGCAAACCAGGGGGTTGTTCATAGGGAAGTTTAGAGAGCTTAAATCCTCTTAAGTTTAATGTTTTGGCAGCGCTGAC